AGCCGGCTTGGTGGCGGATGATGAGATATTGGCAATGCTCAAAATTACACGTTAAGCCCTCGTTTGGCTCCCATTAAATTAAAATTCATTTTTCTATGTTTTCTTATCAATCACTTATTTTTGTACATCTAAGCTTTTGATCGTTTTGGACTTGAACGCCAACCTTATCAAAGAAATGGAATATAGTGTTCAATAATTTCCGTCCATAAAATTCCAGTCCCCTAAATGTATTATGGATTTCAAAATCACACTGATTATGGTTCGATAAGCTTTAATAATATGTAAGTTATTTTCAAGTAATATGTTTTGATACAATTTACTTTTTTAGTACTTTAAGTATAGAAGTTATTTCTTTTAAAGTAATGATAATTTATTGTCAAAATTAGTACTTTGCTTATTGCTACCTTTTATTTAGTTGCAAGAAGGTTACTTAGACAAACGCGTTCTAAACTAGTTTCTCTACACAGTTAAATGAATCTTTTTCTACCTACAAACTTGCAAAAATGAAATTTTCAGTTCCTTTCTAAACATATGTAGGCATAGGCATACGCAGAAACACGTCGATTAATTTTGGAACATTAGGGCCCAGTTACCATGTGATATTTTCAGTTCCTTTCTAAACATATGTAGGCATAGGCATAGGCATAGGCATACACAGAAACACGTGGATTAATTTTGGAACATTAGGGCCCAGTTAGCATGTGATATTTTGTCGCTATTAATTATAACATCGCCTTCTTTTTTTCAATTACTATTAGCATTGTTAATTATTGGAAATCCATAATTAGCGCATCTGTGATGAATTATTTATATGATCCCTCAGTAGTAATACCAATCAACAAACATTTGCATTCTACATCTCTCTCTTCTCTCTCCAAAATCAATCAATCACACAAGAAAATGGATGCTGTGATTAGTGCTCCGGTTCGAGCTACACTGGGGAAATTGCTTGATCTCGCCACTTCAGAGTTGAGTCTGGTGTGGGGTTTCAAGGAAGACTTAAAATCGTTAGACGAATGGTTCAACATCATGAGTCCTTTCTTAGTAGATGCTGAGAAACGCGAATTTACCGATGAGGCTGTCAAACGCTGGCTCAAGGAGCTTCGAGATATTACTTACGATGCTGATCATGTCTTGGATGAGGTCAACTATGAAAAAATGTGTCGTATGGTGGATATCCAGGATCAGACTAAGATAATGGCGTGCTTAAACATCTTTTGCTTTATCCCCCCTTTGGTGTTCCAATGGAGAATGGCTCGCAGGATCAAATCCATCAACGTCAACTTGAAAATGTTCGCAGAGAAAGCTAATACCTTGGGCCTCCAGAATGTTGCGAGTTATCCTCTCATTGTTCCTCTGGTCATGGAAACTGATAGCATAACTTTTGATTCAAATGTCGTCGGAAGACAAGGTGATGAAGCAGAAATTTTGAAGCTGATAACCAACACAAACGACGCAGTTATTGCAGTCCTTCCCATAGTTGGAATGGGAGGGCTTGGCAAGACAACTCTAGCTCGGTCGGTCTTCAAAATTGAGGACACTGAGAGTCATTTTGGCGAAAAGATTTGGGTATGCATCTCAAAAAATTTTGATATGGAGA